GCAGTTAGATCTCCTGAGCACAGCGAGTACAAAATCTCGGACCGGGACGCCCTATTACCGGAGATATCACAATATGGAAGATCACAGTAAAAAATGCGGACTTCTTCAATCCTTTCCGAAATCCGTGTGATGGTACATATTAGCCATCTGATTACGATAAACACAAAATTTTGGACCGGTACGCTGTATCAAAAATGTTATAGTTTTTTCAAATGCCGAGGCTGCTATATGAGGTATGGATCACATTTCCTTCATCCTTCACTCAATCTTTGATATTGATATGTCTCCGGTATTAGGGCGTACCGGTCCGAAATTTTCAGCTCATCGTGTTCAGAAGGCTAAACTGCATCTGTATGCGAAGTTTCAGTGCAATTTGAGGAGTCCGCTGAATCCCGAATGTGGACCTGAATCTGATTGTGAATGTGGTGCCAACTTGACGGACGTAAGCTTGGTGCATCTGCTGATGTGTTCATGACATCCAGTGAACGCTTGCATTCATTTGTGCACTCATCGTACCAACACCACTTTTTTGGAGAGAATCAATGGATTGCTTGCTTGCCTGTACATTGCGACCAGCATCATTTTTGGGGTACCACGTGGCGTGATGTTACAGACCTATGTGTGACAGTGCGTGAATGTCTGCAGTAAACAAGTCCTTGAGAAAGTTTTGCGTTGCATTCTCGTTTGACAGCGATGAGCAATTGCATCGTCGGCGAGATGAGAACGGATCGTGCAACATGGCCAAACATCGCTTGAGTCTGAATTTATAGCCCATGTCCTGTGAAGTAAAATGCCGCGTTAAGACGGGGCGAGGCAAGATGATTAAGTCATGACTGTTCGGTTATTCTAGAGCCTTTTCAGATTTTGTTAGCTCAGACTTGCTAGCGTGTCGCCAAGAAGGCAGATAAAAGACCTGATGCCGCTCTGTTTTGAATTGCATCTCAAAGTGTATTAAGGAAATCGACGTTTTTATAGAATCGTGATTCCAGCGTTGCATAGCGTCTAGCCCAATCATTAACGGTGGATGGACATCTCGCAACGGACGCCAACGCGTTAACCTTTTTGGGGCAGGCTATGAAAGAGAAGAAAAATTCACATGTTATGTATTTAAGCTGGGACACTGTTCTGTGCTCTCTGCACTCCGCCACACATGACCGAAAGTGCCCACTCAAATCACACTTGTTTTCGTGGTAGGCAGAACGGGCCTAACACAAACTGAGTTTTTGGAGTTTGTGTTTTTACAAGAAGAACTCTGGCTATCTTGCTTTGACGTACACCAAAAGCACATAACACTTTTTGTTACTTTAGAGACCTGCAAAGCTTAAGTTTGACTTTCTCCTTTCGCCTGTGCTACAGTGGCTTGTGCTTGTTGCAACCACGCACAAGCAGTTGGTGACATGACTCTGACAGATACAAGGTCCCAGACCTTGTACCTAGACCTACCCTGGCTTTATACCTGATTGGAGAGTGGGCCCTCAGGCCCATACGGACATGGAGCCCACCGTGTGGTTTGGTGGTACCCGACCGATATATGGGCCCACATCGATTCAGGTCCCCGTCGGCGTAAAGGACCTTCTGGCCGATATTTGAGTGTCCGTCTTCGCAGTTCGGGGTCTCTGAATAAGGCTCCGACCAGCCTTTACGCCCTTAGATCCTCCAGTCGTGTCCTTGATCGTCGGACTCTGTGGGCTCTTTAGACTGTTCGGGCCTCCTCGAGCACTGCCTCTGGTAAACTCGGGTCCCCTTGGCAATACAGGACCCCTGTTAAACACTGCGGGGCTCCGGGCAATGTAAATCGCTGGTTCCGGCTTTGTTCGTGCTTAGGAAATAGGCCTTTAGACCCATGCTGCCACCGAGCCGACTATGCGTTACTGGTGTTGGCTGACCGAACCATAGAATATTATCGACTCAGTGGGTCCCTGATGAGCGCGCAGGACTCTCCGGGTGGCATGAAATGCCCGGCCCTGCGAGGCGGGGCCCCAGAATGGGACCTCCAGCTGGCCTTTCAAGCCCTTCGGGTGCTCAAATTGGGCTCTTAACCTCGGAACCTAAGGGGGGGGGGGGCACGTGCTCCCTGTGCCCCTCTGCCTGCGCTGCTGGTTGCATTATGGCTTTCTGCACTTGGTGGAAATGCCTCAACCCTATCGACCAGCTGCCACGGACCAGATTTTAAAAGCAAAATTGCTGACGTGCGCGTGCGTCTGGGGTAGTCCGCCGGCACCACGTCATTTCACAGCCGGCGGGCCACGGTGGCGACCGATTACATAGCGCGGCCCCTTTGCCGGCCATCCCGGGCCGATACCTCGGCAACCACGGGTCGGAGCGTCGTAGGGGAGTCACGTGGTGTTAGGTCTCTGGCCGCACGCGCTCGCGAGATGGAAAAATTCGTTTTGGCTGTGCTCATTTATTTTGTCAACTGTCATGCCACATCTCGACAGCCAGTGCAGGTAGAGGCGTGAGTCCAATTTGAAAGCGTCCACTAACGTAATGCCAGCGGTTTCAGTGTTCATCAGCACCTTTTACGACGCACAGTTGCGCTGCAAATCGTTAGTAAATGTCGGCATGTTGGCATCTCGGAAAGCGCGACAGCCATGGTTATAACACGGGCTAAGGAAGTCTGCGACCGATCAGCGGCAAGCCGGCAAGGTGCGCCATCCCAGGCACAAGTCGGTAAGGTGCGCCATCCCAGACACAAGTCGGTAAGGTGCGCCATCTCAGACACAAGTCGGTAAGGTGCGCCATCCCAGACACAAGTCGGTAAGGTGCGCCATCCCAGACACAAGTCGGTAAGGTGCGCCATCTCAGACACAGGTCGAAAACGATGGGTCGGAGCGACGCGGAAGTGACACGATTCGATGGAGAATTAAACTGGCAATCGCGTGGTGTGAAGTGCTGAATCGCACGCACCACGCTTAGGCACACACGAGCTGGTAACAGAAATTTTACCTTGCTTGACAGCTTTCTCGTTTTGCGCTTATCTCAGCACCCAGGGCAGGGAGCGACTCGAGATTGCAGTGCTTTGATAGGGGCTTCAACAACAAATTGCATGGCGTCATGCGCATGGCCATACGGGCCATGCATCACGCCGACATGACCTGGAAAGTGTCTTTGTTCTTTTCATCAGGTTTGCACGTTTTGTACCGGATCTCGGTACCTAGGACGCGGAGCCACTTGGTACAAACTTACTCTTATGGGAACCAAACGGGCAATCACCTGGTGCAAAGTTTGCCATCGCCCGTGTTACGTGCCCACGAGCCGGCAAGATAAATTTTGTCATTTTCGACCATTTTTACGTTTTACATCATTTCTCGGCACTGACACTCTCGGCACTTCAGCGTCATTCGCCAGAAGCAATAGCAAAGGAATGGCACTGCTGTTGCCGTTGCATCTGATGCGCAGCGCCGGTTTTATCTTCTCAGTCTTAGTATAGTAAATGACAAACTCAATGGCAGTGCCAAGCACTCGGAGCGGTTCAAACTCCTGGATAACGATTATCCGAAATCGCGTCGTCCAATAGCAATGAAACGTGCTTTTGACGCGTCCATTGCTGATGCATCATGCATGTTTTTCAATGTACTTGTTACATGTTTTTCATATTCTTAAGTCTTCATTACTACTATCAATATCACTTCACTGCTCTTAAATATTTTCACACGCCTGTCCGGCTCAATTCGATGTCATTCTGAACGACTCAAGCCATGGCCACACGTACGAAGCATTGGAAAGATCGGTTAGCAATTGCGGCGTCATATTTAACTGGCCCAAAAGCCAATCAAGCGTCGGTTAACAGCTCCCGAGGCAGACTCCAAAAGAAGAAAACACCAGCTTTTTCAACGCCTCGGGGGCCATGACCCCGTCCCCCCCCCCCCACCCCGGTCCATCCCTTATGGAGGGCTTACCATCCATCGATCAACATGAGACTAGCTTGCCGCCGCATGGTTAAATGGAGGCATGGTCAGGCATCAGAGGCATCAGAAGATATTGGAATATTAAGTTCTGCGTGTGTGGAATCCTTGTGTTGGAAGCTGAGCAAACCCGTGTTTTTTTGCTGTGGGACGGACGCCTGTGAGGTCATGCTTTGAGGTATGTAAGCTCGCATGATAAGGGGCCGGAAATATGTGCACGAGCCAGTGTAGGGAGGTGATCTGTCAGCTCACGTCCGCGCAAAGTGTGAATGCATGAGTTGGTGCAGGATCGAGATGGCGGTGTGCCGACATGGCCTAGCCAAGCCCGCGCCGCTGATGCCGGACCTCACTGGACAATGCTCCTGACAGCGGGCGTGAGATGTGGGTTAAGACGGAAATGTGAAATAAAGTAGGTCTTAAGTGGCAGCGAACATAAAAATCATGTAGCCATCAGCCGAGGCAGTAGCATGCCATCAGCCGAGGCAGTAGAATGGGTACCCACCCGCAGATGCAGAAACGAACAATCTGGGACATGTGGAATACGACCCAGGCATGTGATTTCGTGTTTGGAAAGCCCAAAGTTGTTAAAACACTGCATGCTAGTGAGCGGAGGCTTAACTGCAAGCAGTATCTGGGGAATCTTTGTAAACATGAAGTCCATGGGCTAAATATCTCTAAAGACTGCAGTCACGGGCAGGACTTAGGATCGGAACGTCTAAAGTAAGTACATCGCGCCTTTTCTGCAGTCAGGAAAGTCTCACCAAGCCCGACAGCACGCCTCAGGGCTTCGTGTTCTGTTGGCCTTTCCCAGGGAAGATCCCGCATTCCGGAATGGCAAAATATGATAATAAAATGGTAGCCCCGCGTCGTTTTCCGTGTCGTATCCAGGAAAAGCCCAGCCCCCAGGGCGGCACTGGTAAGGAGCGGTACCGATTAACATGTCTGCAGGCCGGGCGGGCACCGGTTAGTTGGTGCACCAGCGCCATGGACGGCGAGGCGGCGGCCGCTACAGCCGGCCAGTTCAGTGACCGCCCGGGCCGCGGCAGCAGTATGGCGGCGCTCTGCTGCCGGCTGGCGCTCCTGGCGCTCCTGGCGCCACTGGCGCCGGCCATCCGGCTGCGTCCGGACCGCTACTGCCTGGCCTGCCTGTGCGCGGCTGCCTCCAACTGCTCGCCGAACATCGGCTGCCACCGGCGCGGCGTCGACAAGGTGTGCGGCCCGTTCCTCCTCACGGCCGACATGTGGCGGCGCGCGCGCGCGGCCGACAGGACTGTCGTCGACCGCTTCTCCTACCTGGACTACCTCGCGTGCAGCAACGACACGGCGTGCGCGGCGGCGGTGATCAGCGCGTTCGTGGCGGCGGAGGCGGGCGACTGCGATGGTGACGGCCAGGTCACCTGCCGGGACTTCGGCGTGCTCACTCTGGCGGGGCCGGAGTCGTGTCGGGACGGCGGCCCGCGCCCAGGAAGGACGGCCACCGCCCAGCTGGGCTCGCTCGACCAGTGCCTGGCCGATGTGGCCGCCATGCTGCAGGCTCCGCCGCCCGGGCCTCACTGCTGAGTGTATTCTCCGCCGACGTGGCCTGTGCACTGTGAAGGGTAGGCGGCCGTCCGGTCAGCAGACTCTCCTTAACCGGAGGTGGCTGACAAACCATCGGCGCGGGCTGCGAAGGCGGGCGGTGACAGGGTCTGCGGGGGTCTCCGGAACTGGAGGAGCCCGCCCTGGCTGCTGACACCAACATCAACACGTGCTGTGATAACACGAGTTTGTCGAGTCGGCAGGAGGCATCAAATGGAACTAGCTGCTGAGACGAACAGCAGCGTGTGCTGTGAGGTCAGCAGGTAGCGAGCCGGCAGGTTATATGGATTCTCCGCAACGGGAGATATCAGTGTATATTAGTGGCGATCGGTTCCTATGTTTTCAGTTCAGTTCTTGGCCAGAGGGCAGCGCCAGTGTATATGGGCATTATTCTCAGTGTTGCTCGTCGCATTTCGCACTTGTGATGGAGTTCATAACAAAAATGCACGGACGGTGCGCGTATTCACCACTCAATACACACATTGAATGTGCGACTATTTTTGCAGTGTCTTGAGCTTTCTCCGCACCCACATGATGCAGTGTGACATTGTTCACCTCGTTCTAGGGCCAGGGTGGTTAACACACATGCTCAAATACAGAGAACTTATCAATGCCAAGGTTAGTTGGCAATCACCCCTCAGAATCTCCAGACGTACAAAATCCAGGCTTAGAATTAATCTGCACTTAATGCTTCTGCAGACAAGGGGAATCGAAATGTCGTGAAGAAGAATTCCAGCTAACCATAGGTGTAGTTGAGCGGGAGCTTGACTTCAACTAGTGTTACTCTGCTAATTAACAAGATTGAAATAGAATACTAGTAGTGATGCCACGTAAAAATAATGATCTGACATAGCTGACGGGGTTCCTTCTTAGTCAGTGGGTAACAGTGAAAACGTCATCGTCCCATCAACATGGCCATCGTTGGCGCGTCATGCAGGGTGCTTAAGAAGAGCTGGCACAACTTCGATGTTGACTCGTGCTGTTTGTCATTTTGATTGTTTTCCCGGGCGACGCTACGGAGGCCCAGGAGGGTTTCGCCGTATTTTCTTGGTCTAAGAAAACATGAACACCACATGATATCGAATCAAGTTGGTAGAATTATTCCTAAAGACAAGATCCATGGCAAAACTCAATGGTAGTGCTGTTGGGAGCTCACAGTAAAAACCCGCCAAGCCGACATTTTATCCTGAAAGATGGAAGAATTTTCAAGACAGGCACCGCAAATGTAGTGGTTAAACTGCTCGTCTGGAAGACCAGAGGTGCGGGGTCCGATTCCCCGGCGGTGCCCGCCCTTCATGCCAGGGCGAAAGGCAGGCGACGCCGTGTGGCCTCAGCAGGTGAGTGCACCCCGAAGTACTGATGGCAGGAATTTTCAGGAGGAAGGCGCTGTTAATGAAGTGCAAAAATTAGGAGGAGTTGATGCCGCCAGTTCAAAATAGAGCATCCATGCTATGAGGTAGCCGTTTGTGCTAAGGCCTACGAAGTCCTGTTGCCAGCGCTCACAAGAACTCAAAAGTTGCTCACCACGGTGCAACATATCATGAAGGTTGACTTAAATTGTATTAATTCGCATTGCATTGTGCCTACAAGTGCACATACCGCAGTTTTCGGCACGCTATGATGGACAAGCAAGAATTAATGAGTGCCAGTAGTGATGTAAGATGATGGAGCTGGAAGGGACTTGTATCCATCAGGTTTGGTTTTCAGAGGAAGATTACTTTGACCTCGCAAACAGTGGTAATATTGGCTGCAATGGCCACTAGCAAAACAACGGCTTTTGTGGAAGAGAAATATCTGAGCGTACGGACACCCAGAAGATTTTGCATAGCGCAGTGCGGTACCTGAGATTCCATGAGCTTACACGGCATAATGAGACCATTTCGGTTCAGGGGAGGAAACTCAATGGAGGCGACAGTAAACCGAGAAAACTATTAGTGCAGTGGTAGAAGGTCTCTACCACTGCACTGTCCGAAGTCGTCAGCTTGCATACAATCGTCAAGATTCGAAGGAAGTAAATTGAACTCAACATACCGCGCTGTCGATCGGAAAAATGTTGCCCGAGGCGTTTCGCGAGTGGATCTGAGTGAAAGATAGAGACGGAAGACGGAAAAGGGGTACATCTAGAAATCACATCATACCGACCCAAGCCCACTGGACCCATTTGTGTGGGCTACGCGGAAGATAACGTGCACAAGGACAAACCAGCTTACTTAGTGCAGCTCGAGACAACCACGGAGGAGTTCTGCGAATCGATATGATCTCCAACACGTCAGATCGTCACGGACGTTTTCTGTCAAGGATCGATGGTCTCAAGGACCTGGTGTGTCGCGGGGATCACATCAATGACGTCACCTGCGCCGCTCCAAAACATCAAACGTCATCGGCTTGCAGTGGCGCAGTAGTTGCTTTTAGCGACGTGTGGGTGGTACCACAATTTTCCAAGTGCCCTCCTCAGGAAAAAGCGGTAGAGTTTGGCCTAAGCTGATTAGTTCACATAGAAACTATCGTGTCAGCGCTTTTGTGCATTTGTGGCCACCCGAACATGATAGCTGTGAGAAACCACACATTCTCGAAACTCGCAAACTGGCAAGATAATTCCTATCATTGGCATGTAATTTGATAATATTTTCAAAACAAATCCTAATCCTCAGACGAGCTGACGTCGCGCAACGTCCTGTGGGGCCTGTCAACAGCACTTTGACACCGCATACACTAATAGGTGATCACAAGTGGCTAGCATAAATAACATTTGGACTGCAGTGGTGGTGCCCGGCACGTCGCGGGCGGTGAGTAGGCCTCACGTTTGGTATTATCCTACCCGCATCAAAATCTCAGTGCACGCCTATGCTCGTGCCTCGTAAACCGTGCGTGTCAAGGTAGGACGGCGGATAGGGTTGACGATATTTCCAAGATAATGGCTAATAGATCAAGGCGATCCAGACGATCACGTACATAAAAGGAGACAACTTGATTTTAGACTCAATAAGCTGCACATCTGGGAAACCAAAGGTACAAGGTTTGATTCCTGATGGTGCGTCTTCCTGCCAGGAGTGAGGGGCAAACGATGGCATGCAGTCTCAGGAGCTGAATGCGTCGTTAAACCCCAACGAAACCCCAACAATCAAACAACCAAATTCCATTGACCGAAGGTCAGATATGAAGGTGATACCAAGGTCAAAACCAACCTGTTTTATTACTCAAGGGCTCGCTGTTTGGGATAGCTTTTGGTGCTCATTTCGAAACAATTGGTAACATAAACTGCACTAGACACGTGACCTTTAATGAGACCCTTAAAGACCTTTAATGAGCATGTGACCTTTCGCTTAGAACAGGTATCTAGGTTTTGGGGACACTGGAGACCAAGTTGGAGTTTGACCTTGTTTGACCTTATTTGACCTGAATGTCATGACGTACGAGGCTCAAACTTTGGGCTAAGTGAGTTCACGTACAGATCACACACCCTGTGAATTTGGTGTCTCTAACCCTCACAGCTCCTGAGACCCGCGGGTGGGGGATCAAACTGACCCCCAGTCGAGCGAAGGGTATCCAACCGGCCACCCGGGCGCGTGTTAATGATGGCTGAGCTCCTGGATGATTCAAGCATCATCAAATTGCGTGTTTCTTTGGATTCTAGTCGGGATGGAGGCTGATATTTGCACGCAGAGACCTCTCGCACTGCGCGGGCTCAGTCGGTGACGAATGAAATATAGGCGTAAAGTTGTCCACACCGTGCCTGATGCGCACAATGGCAGCGTGGGCATGCACATTCTCCCGAAAGAAGGTGCATTGGATGGCGCATGGCGCACGCTTGGTGCTTCGTCTATCCCCCTTGCCCGGTGTTCAGCACTCGGGCGGAATATCTTGCCATTCCGCTCGTGCTCGCATACCAGTGAGCGACTAGGATCAGAGCCTGTGACAGGATTTGAAAACCAAGCCTAAGTTGCGCAGGTAAGTTGAAGCGCCTTTGACGCTGGAAGGCGGAGGGGGCTAGGATCCGGACCAGGGTGATTTAGGTGCCCACCGAGATCAGGACCGGCCGCTAAGTAGTCCATTGCTCCTCTGCTAAGTGTCAGGAGAGTTCTGATGCGTTCTTGGCTCCCGGATGTCTCAGATCTCGTTCGGCTTATTTGCGTTTCATGCCAAATTACATTTTGGTACGGATCGCTTGCCACCAATGCATGAAAAAATGATATAAAAGACGTGAGCGCATTTGCGTAGCATGCTCTACCAGAGCATTGGAATATCAGAGTGACACTTGAGCGAGAGAGAGGGAGGGAGAGAGAGAGGGGGAGAGAGGGCATGAGAGAGAAAATGAGAGAGAAAGGCAGGGAGAGAGAGGGAGGGAGAGGGAGGGAGAGAGAGAGCGTGAGAGAGAGAATGAGAGAGAAAGGGAAGGAGAGAGACAGCATGAGAGAGAGAGTGAGAGAGAGGGAGGAGAGAGAGAGAGAGGGAGAGAAGAGAGAGAGAGACATAGATAAGAGGGAGGGGAGGAGAGAGAGAGAGAGAAAGAGAGATAGAGATAGAGAGAGAGAGAGAGAGAGATGAGAAGAGATAGAGAGATAGAGAGGAGATCATAGATGGGAGAGAGAGAGAGGGAGGGAGAGATACATGGGAGAGAGGGGGAGGGAGAGAGAGAGCATGATAGAGAGGGAGGGAGAGAGAGGGCATGAGAGAGAGAATGAGAGAGAGAGAGGGGGAGAGGGAGGGAGCGAGGGAGAGAGAGACCGCTGGCTAGCGACCAGCGGGCGGCCATCGTACCACGTCACGACGGCTGCCATCGCCGACATTGTGTGTCAGGAGCGGTGTCAGGGCCGGCCGTGCTGTTGTGCGTCAGGAGCGGTGTCAGGGCCGGCCGTACTGTGCAAATCATCTTCGCCGCATACGCGCCATTCGCGTCTCGTCGAGTGTTGACAGCACGGCGGGCACGGGCAGCGACTGACCCGACGGCCTTTTGACAGTGACCTGACCCCGACCCATGCGTCGTGGCCGCGGCTCGTTTGGGCACACGCGGCCTTCAACCCAGGGCGCCGACGGCAGCAGGGTGGCGCGTGTTCGCTCATGGCCTGGCGCATGCTGGCGGTGGAGACTGCGGCGGTGAGCAGTGATGACGCCGTTCAACGTTACAAGCCGGTGGCGGATTCCGACTGTGGGCTGTTGTGTGTCGCGTTGATGAGGTGGAGACTGTGGCGGTGAGCAGTGATGACGCCGTTCAACGTTACACGCCGGTGGCGGATTCCGACTGTGGACTGTTGTGTGCCGCATTGCTGAGGTGGACGCTGGCCGCGGGCGTTGGCGATGGGGGTCGCTTGGAATGGCGCTCAGCGAGCCCTGGACGACGAGGGGTAACGATGCCTCGTCATACTCAGCGTCGCCGAACTTATGCTGCACTTAAATGACGGCCACGTTCCAGGCACTGAACACTGATGAACGGTGCCGCTCGGCAATAACACTTCAAAGCAGCATCCTTCATATTTGGTGTTAGTGTG